TTCTTTATTCTCTGGTATCTTGCTAGGATGTAAATATGTTTGATAAACTATGTAACATACAGAAACTATGAATATTTATTGTGCCATGTTCTAAATTTTCACTTGCATCAGTTTGCTTATGTTGATATGTAATGAAAGAATGGGTTTTGAAAAATCTGAAAGAAGCTTCCTCGGGACAGAAAAATAAAAGAAGAAGAAATCTCCACATTATATCTTGAGAAATATAGGCTCATGTGCTTGAGTTTCTTTGTATCAAAGAACCAGTTCAGCTAAAAAAAAAAAAAAAAAGTTGTTGGTAGAAAAAAGAATGGAAGTGGTGATATTTGAGTTCATGATTTTTTGCTCATTAAAACTCTGGTAACATGTTAAAAACCAGTTCAACTAAAAAAATTAAGCTATCAGCTCAGGTCAAAATAGTAATCTATGTCTAATCACTTACTTTCAGGAATAGAGTTAAGATTCTAGTCTTAGTAATCTTATGTTGTAAGATGGGAGATAGAGTTCACTTCCTGTCATTATCTAGGAAGAGAGTTCTCATGATATGATTTATATTATTCTCTAATATTTTGATAGCAATAAATTCAAATGAGCTTGTAGCTCAATGGTAAGGAAGAGTATGAGATGAGATATCAGATTCGAATCTTACCTTTATCAAAACTCTAATAGAATCAGAACACACTCGTATAAAGAAGAAGAAGAAGAAGAAGAAGAATTAATAATAAGTTCTCACTGAGGCACAAATATACAGGGAGCTTGTCATTAAGGGATAAGAGATTGGCCTTATGGATTATATAGCTGGGAAGCTTCATTTTAGAAGAGAGGAGCATGGTCATGAGTAAAAATCTGATGTCATGATATAGCAATAATTGGTTATAAGTGTAAAAGCTATATGTTAGCTCATAATTACATCAACATTACTGAAGAAACTGCCAAATTTCATTGAACGTCTTGTTTCTACTATTGATGTATGTGTAAAATGCAACGCAGCATTAGATCAAATGAGTTTATGATTGGCAATGATTTTTTACTCATATTAATCCATTGTTTGTGGTTTTCAATGCAGATTGATTTAAATATAAACCCTCATCTCCCTTCTGACTACATAAATTATTTGGAGAACCCCATGGAAATTATTAATGAAGCTGAGAAAGCTGCAGAGACAGATATATGGAGTTTGATGCAATTTACAGAAAATCTGCGTCGCCAGTATGGAAAAGAGCCTTGCTCCATGGAAATTCTATTGAAGAAGCTTTATGTAAGGAGAATGGCAGCAGATATTGGGATAACAAGAATTTATGCATCTGGGAAGATGGTTGGCATGGAAACAAATATGAGTAAAAAGGTTTTTAAGCTGATGACAGATTCAATGTCATCTGAAATGCATAGAAACTCTTTGTTTTTTGATGGAAACGAAATAAAGGTAATTTCTACAATATTTTTATACCTTTATTGATTGGTTTCTCTTTTCTTTGACACATGCTTACATTCAATGATGTGATAAATAATAATGCCCTTGGGTCCATAGAGGCGAAGAACGAGAAGAAATGGAAACTTTGACCCAAATTTTATGTTACTGAGTAGTGTGGATATAAGAAAATATGTATGATGCTCTTCTATACTTGATCACTTTAACATTGCTAATGTAGAGTTTTCACTCTTGTCTTCTGTATCAATATGGATTCAAGATATCTTCATTGATATAATCTACCAGTTATATTTAGGGTTCTTTAAAGATTTCTTTGGAATTTAAACATTGTCTTTTAACTGTTTTTTTCTCGTTAATTATTTACAGGCTGAACTTCTTTTGGAGCTACCGAGAGCACAACTGCTAAATTGGATCTTTCAATGCATAGCAGAACTCCATGCTTGCCTGCCGGCCCTTATAAAATACTAGTATCATTTACTCTACAGAATTAGCCCTTCCATGAACTTTCCCTTTTGCACAGTCTCACCAGTGATTCTTGAAGAGGCAAACAAGAATGCGTATTTCCAAGTTTTGTTCCCTCTGGTCTAAAGTGCGTGTGATATTTCATGAAGATGTTCCAAACCAAAACTGAGCACCAAACTAACAAATATTTAGAAACATGCTTATTTCATGTCATGGCGCGCGGTTGGGATTATACTGAGGCATTATGTCAAGGTGAGTCACGAAAGCTTCTGTTTCTTGTTCAAACCATTACCGCTCTTGACTAGCTATGACTTCGCAGGATACACAGGTGTAAAGTGGTTGGATTAAGTCATTCTCGTGCTACAAAGAGCAGTTTTCACTGGGAGAAGACCGAGCATATTGGTGATGGTGACCGTGACATATCTCGTTATCATCTTTTCAGCATGAACAAGATGTACAGTATGAATTCAGCAAGGGGAGTGAGCACTGCTCATTTTTCTGCGCCATTGTCACAAAGAAGCTTCCCTATCGGTTGGTGCTAAAGAATCAATAATGTTATTAACTACATCTTGGCATGCATTTTTGAGAGATGCATGATGATGGTCAGAAGGATGGTTTGTGTTGTTTATAGGTGGTTTAGGAAAACATCTACTTCTTTCAGAAATCCGTGCTGAATTGCCACGAGATAACTGGGGACAATTTGTAAAGAGAGAAGGCATGGTGATTGTAATTGTTGAACACCATGATTTACCCTTGTGCCTCTGTGTATCAAAAAGTCTGCTCCATCGGTGTCTACTATCGGTCAATCACCCCAATTTTGTGTGTATGAACGGTCCAGGTTAGCCCAGTGGATCCCTGTCTTGTTAATTTTGGAAATACGGCTCATTAAATACAATTATCATGATAACATTACAAATTAAAATATTAAATAAAATCAAAGGCCTTGCCTCGCCACTCGGTTTTTTACAAGCTTGTGAACTACAGTAGTTTTCTAATGGGTTTTCCACCGATGAAAAAAAAATAAAATGCATACGAGATTGATTTAATATGATTTGATCAATTTGATAAATTTAAAAATATATGAAGTTCTAAAAATGACTTGAATAATTATTAAAAAAATAATTTTATTAAAAAAATTTAAAAAGATATCTTAAAAAATAAAAATTAGATGAAAATATATTAGATCAATCTATATCAATTTATATTAACCGCTAAATTTATAACCTGAATTATAAGGTTAGATAACTCTATAAGAAACAAATCAAAATAAATTCAATTCTTAATCAACTTAATATTAAAAAATAAAGTTGAAAAAAAAACCAGAAAACGAACAATTCGAGTCAATTTAGGTTAACTTGTCAAACTTGTAACCTGATTGATGTGACTGAGATAATTCTATAAAAAGAAAATCAAAATAAATTATAAAACTCAATTTCCAATTAACCTAATTAAATAATAAAATTGAAAAAAATCAATTAAATAAAAGACATAAAAAATGACTCTAGTCAACCTATCAATATATGTGATTTAAGTAATGAGATCAAAATATTCTCATAGAAAATAAACAAAAAAATTATGAAGTTTAATTTCAAACCTCATAGAAAGTAAATTGAAAAAAATTATGAATTCTAATTTCAAATCAGCTAAATATTAAAAGATAAAATCAGAAAAAAAATCAACTAAAAAACAAGTTCACTAGTCAAACCTACGATCCAAGTTATAAAACTAAAATAAGCATTATGGATTGAAATGATGTTATAATAGAGAAATATATTAACAAAAACTTAAAGGGTGTGGAAATTTTTTTTAACAAATACATATTATGGATTGGAATGATGTTTCTTTTTAATTTTAATTTTTTTATTCATTAATTCTTTTCAATTTTTTTATTTAATATTATTTTTATTGGGATTTGAAGTTGAAATTTTGTTTTGATATGCTTTTTTTTTTATGGTTATTAAGATCTTAAAAAAATATTGCTACATTAATTTAGAGCTTGGTTTCACAAAAAAAAAAGTTTGATTTTATTGTCACTAAGATTTAAGATTGACAATTGTTTCAATCTACTTATTTTTTGGTTATCTCAATTTAAAAAAATATATGATATTGGGTTAATGCTTAGTTACACAAGAAAAGAATATGAATTTATTATTTGAAAAAGATTAAAAAAAGCAAATAAAAAATGAAACAGAAAAAAAAGGAGCCATTTAAAAAAAACATTATGTAAGTGGCTTTTTATTTAAGTTTGCCTTAAGGATTTTGGAATATTTTCTTTTTGATCCTTTTAGTTTGGTTGTTAAACAGTTTGGTCTAAAATCTTATTTTTCTAGCATTTTAGTCATTTAAAGAGAGGAGAGATTAAAAAAAGAGAGGTAAAAAAAAACAATAGATGACAAATGATATTTTTTTGATAATAAAACTAATTGTTTTTTGTGTCAAGAGAAGAGTTTTATTTTTATTGTTTTAAAAGAAAGATATTTTTTGAATTTGGTTGGTTTTTTTATATATATCTTTAACATAATAAAAGCTAATTTAATATCAGAGACCCCTATAGTGTTTCTCAGGTGCTTTTAATATAAAACAATATGTGAATTATTATTATTATTATATTTTAATATGAGGAATTGAAGATAACAAATCAATTAATTAAGAAGTGTGCATTGAACTCAAATATTTCCATTTAATATTGCTTCCTCGCACAACCTAAACTAGTATATATTGAGAAGCCATCGATCATAATTAACTCTCATTAATTATTACAAGTTCCTTAACTTTTGGTTCTTCCCATAACTCCGCCATTAATATTTATCTCTCTCTTTTCGGGTATTAATTACTGTTGTGACGTTTTTCCATCCATACATAGACAGATTGGCCGATTTTTCTCTTAATTAAGGGAGAACCTTAATGATAAAGGTAAATTAATAAAATTAAGTAAATCCCAATTTAATTATCCCTTAATGTTATCTCTTAATTAAAATGAATTAAATCCCAATTTAATTTAAGTCTTATACGCGGGCGTGTAGATTGGACAATTTGTTTGGAGAGGCTTATTTGTTTCTCAAAGGATTTGGAACGGTGGGAGGGACTAAATTGAAGTTTTCACAGAAATTAGATACTTGAAATTAATAGTCAAGAATACATTGCCTTTTAAGAAATTAAATCCACAAGAGATACAGGGAGAACGGCTGGGATCTAGACGTGGATTAACCATCCCCTGATATGACAAGGCCACGGAGGAATAAAAGCTTTCTGACACTAAAAAATGGACTCACCGACGACACACAGAAAGAATAAAAACCTTACATTAACACCCTTAAAAGCAACCTTAGCATATAACTGCCCAATATATATTGCTGGTCGGACGATCTTATTTTTTATATGCTTATGATGATAGGACATGCTTTCCACTACCGCAGGTTGTCTCCAGCTTCGTCGAACTTCGTAATTCATGGCTCATGAGCAAATTGTTTATTCCACTGGAACGCTGTGTAACACCACTGTCTCAACGGTGAGTCCTGGTCCGAATCCAAACAAAACACCCCACTCAAGCCCTTCACCGGTGGTGCTTTTCCCTTCCTCGAGAGACTTGTTTCTCATCTCGTCCAAGATAAACAAAACACAAGCACTTGACATGTTGCCATAATCACTCAGAACGTTTCTTGTAGCTCTCAGTTTCTCTTCCTTTAGATCTAGCTTAATCTCAACCTGGTCAAGAATCGCGGGGCCACCAGGGTGTGCAATCCAAAATATGGAGTTCCAATCGTTGATACCAATTGGAGCGAATGCTTCAACCAGGCTTTTCTCTATGTTCTTAGAGATTAGCCCAGGAACATCCTTTAGCAGGTGAAAGGTTAAACCAACCTCACGTAAGTGTCCATCGATGGCCCCATCAGAGTCAGGAAGGATGGTTTGTGCAGCTGAGACAAGCTGGAATAATGGACGCTCAATGGAAGTGTCAGGATCAGCACCTACAATAACTGCTGCAGCACCATCGCCAAAAAGCGCTTGACCTACCATTGAATCCAAGTGAGTATCAGATGGTCCACGAAAAGTGACAGCAGTGATCTCAGAGCAGACAACAAGAACGCGTGAGCCCTTGTTGTTCTCAGCCAAGTCCTTAGCTAAGCGAAGGACGGTCCCGCCGGCGAAGCAGCCCTGCTGATACATCATGAATCTCTTTACGGAGGGACGCAGGCCGAGGAGCTTGGTGAGCTGGTAGTCAGCACCTGGCATGTCTACACCTGAGGTTGTACAGAATACAAGGTGGGTGATCTTGGATTTTGGCTGACCCCATTCTTTTATAGCCTTTGTTGCTGCTTCTTTTCCTAGCTTTGGCACCTCCACAACCACCATGTCTTGGCGTGCATCAAGAGACGGAGCCATGTATTCACACATGCTAGGGTTCTCTTTCAGTATCTCCTCGGTTAGGTGCATGTACCGTTTCTTGATCATAGATTTGTCACCTGTTCATGGAAATCATAAAATTAATCCCATTTGAGTTGTAAATCATTTAAAGCAGAATTAATACATATATCCGTAATTTGGTCAGTCATAATCCTCCGCCCCTTCTTTTACAGCTCCTTCAGTCGTTTTCTCTTTTAACACCAGTCACTTTCAAGAGTTAAATCAACTCCAGGTTTCTACCTAATCGCATGCAAGTAGCAGGGATCAAACTACCAGTATTTTCTATTGATAGATAGATATGTGTGTATGTCGACGGAGATCAAGCATGTAAGAATGAATTATTCCACGAGCGTTTTTGGATTAATTTCTTGGGGGTGAAGCATTATAATTAAGTGAAAATGCTGGAGTAGTAATGTGTGTGAGAACATATAAAATAGACACGTACACATGCGTTTGAATTTCTCCTTCAACTCCGTCATGTGTTCACTTTTGGTGATCCGGAAGTAGTAGTCAGGATAGTCAGCCTGGGAGACGCAGTTGGACGGGGTGGCCTTGCCAATGGCCAGGATGGTGGCTGGACCACTGGCTCGCTGGGCCTTTCTGATCTCCTCAATCGACGGTGCCATCTTTACGGGCAGCTAACTCTTTGAACGTTAAGAAGCTAGCTCGGGAACAGAGACAAAGACTGAAGGACAGCTGCAATGAAAAGATGGAAATTACTATCAATGGCATGTATGAAAGGAAGGTAACAGAGGGTTTTTATAAAGAGATGCAGCTTAGAGGGACTGCTGGTCCTTGGTAGGTTGGAGGGACGGATAGCTGGTTGGCCACGTGGGTATGGGGGTTAGGCTGTTAACGAGTGGTAGATGTGGAACCACATACCTGTATTCTTTGTTGAATTTAAAGTAGTTCCTGCATCCAGTGACGTCATTAACCTTTCCTACCTCACCTCCTCATAAAAAATAAATAAAAAATAAAAAATCCCAACTAGGATTCCCTCACCCGCCAGGCTAATCTACATTATCCAAGTTATCAACAATAATTTTTATTTTTATGGATTATTAGTTATAACAACTAATTAGATTATTTCAATTGTTTTAATTTTAAAAGCTTATGGATTCTTCAGCCAATTTTCATCACGAGACCAAGTCTATTTCTATTAAAAAAAAAATTAGATGGATAAACATGAAATGAGTAATCTTGCAGGGAGCCAATAAACACACTTAATTATTATATGAAAAAACACTCAAGGATTTCTTGTGGATATAGGATGTTAAAATATTTGATTCTTTTCAAGTTTTATTTATTTAATAGATGGAATAACTCATTTATAGCTATTCACAGTAGCGAAGGTATGTAGGGTCACGAGGGCAATTACACCTTTAACTTTTTTTTTTTAATTTTTTTATATTAAAATATATATTAATAATATCTTAGTAGATTTAATTTTCTTTGCTGGTTACCAATTAACCTAAGTTAACTATTGTTAACTTACAACATAATATAATATGTAATATAAATGTCCAATATATTTTATTAATCGTTTCCATTTTCTTTCATTAATTAACCCATTCTTCTTTCTTTCAAATTACTATTCTTACCTCTTGTTTTTGTAATTTTTTTTTAAAGTTCTAAGTTGTTAATTAGTTAAACAAATAACCTCTTCTGCTTCATGTTTTAAGTAAGTTTTCTTTATCTTTTCTATTTGTTTCTTTATTTAAATTTAATTTTATTCCTTTATAATTAGTTATTGAAAATGTTAATATTTATTATAATTTAAAAGTTTGTTGAATTAATATGTGTATGGATAATATTATATGCATATAGATATAAAATGAAATAGGTTTCTATGAATTAATAAGTATTTTGTTATCATATTGAAAATGGATGGTAATGAACTTACTAGTGATTAAAACATAAAATATATGACAACTCAAAAAATTAAGGATACTATAGAGAAATAAAACAAATTTAATATTTATGTTTAACCCATCTATAGAAAACAATAAGTCAGCGATAACAACATTAATTGGTCATGACAATCCTTTTATGCTATGATCTTAGCTACTCTTTATCATATATCAGTATAAAATTGTTATAAGATCTCATAACAGCGGGTGAGGAGATAGTTATTAACCTTATTAGTAGCACTGGTTGCTGACTTGTTATATGTGTTTTTGAGCGTCAAGCTAAGTAATGGACTCGCGCCATTAAGAATAAAACCATAAGGATGGGAGGCCTAAAACGAATAATATACTAGGCTGAACTGTTACAATTGTTACCAAGCACTTCACTAGTCCATAAAAGATTTAGAAAATACAAGCATTGAACCCGCTTTAAACTAAAAATAGATGAAAGACAGTTTGATTATATATATTAAAAAAATATCTTTAATGAGATTGATAATAAAGTTATTATGAAGAGGTTTTAAAATATAAAAACTTGAAAAAAATTATAACATAAGTTTTTTTTATTTTGAAAGTATTAAATTAATTTTGTTTGATATGAGTTAGTACATATATTTTAAATTAATTTCTTTATATAATGCATATCTATATGATACATAGTATCAAGTATTTGTTAATAATTTACCCCTTTATTTAAAAAATCATGGCTCCACCATTGCTTATGCATATTATATAATTTCAGAAAAAAAGAAAAATAAAGAAAGAATAGTTCACTCATTATTAGTTTGATGCACGTATATTTTTTGGTATATATAATTTCTTAAACACGAACTTAATTTTTAGTATTGTATTTGAATAAATAAAAAAACTATATAATGTGCGAATAATATTATACTTATTTCCATGCCTAACTTTGTTCATATAAAAGTAAAAATACATTAAATTCTCTAATTTATTGAATTTTCATGGTAAGAGATTATCAAGAAATCACTATTGAATTAAGGGCAATCACCACCTAGCTATTAAAAGGAAAAAAAAAAAAAGGAAGGAAACTTTTGTTAATTAGAAAAAAAAAATTATTTCAATATGCTAAGAATATAAACACAACAAAAAATTAATAGGATATACATACTTTATGTTACGATTGATTAAGTGTTGAAACAATTATCCAAAAATCATTATACTGTCAAAAATAAAAAGTTTTTTAATCTATGCCAAAACTTTAGGGTTATTTTGTATACATGGAAAACATAGACTTTTCATTAATCTCTTTTAGGTTGGACCAAAGACATTTTATATATAACCTAATTTTTTTGTAACTTCATCCATCATAAATGTGCTTGGCATATCACTAGAGTCTAATAAATTTTAAGCCTTAACTATCACTTAATTTGAAATGTACTTAATATATAGGTCATTTTAAAAATAATTTTTTCCTTACATTTTTCCACTTGGCATATATCTCATCACTTGAAAAATGACAATATCTTTATAAAGTTCAAAATATCTAAGTGAAAATACTTATATTTAAATCAAGAATACAACATATAAATAATAACGACCACACTTTATAATTAAACATTTTTTTCCATATATTACAATATATTGCATCCTTAAAATAAACAATTAATAAGAAAATAAACTTTATGAATGAACTTCCAATAAGTCAAATAGTTCCAACTTTATATATCTCAATATATATAGAAAATAATATTTTATATGCACATAAATCACTTTAGTTTCTAAAAATAACATAAAAATTATCCAAATAATCAACTAAAAAAAATGAAGTTAAACATCAAATAAGTTAGCTAGACTCATATGATCCATATGATCTTTATATTGTTTTGTTGGTAATGCTTTAGTCATGGGATTCACAACCATTAACTCAATGTTTAATTGCTCGATGAACACTTCATATTCCTTCATTTTCTCTCTCACAATGAGATTTTTTTATGTTGATATGCTTGTTTAAGCTTCCATACTTAATACTCTTAGAGAAGAAAATTACAATTGGTTTATCATAATATATCTTTATTGATCTTCATATGGGATTAAAAACTTTAAGATAAAAAGTAAATTTTTTTAACCAAATTGGTTGTATCATTGCTTTATAGCATGTAATGAATTAACTTCCATAGTAAATGAAACAACAATAGCTTGGTTAGTAATTCTCCAAGATACAACACCTCTAACAAAAAGAAAATGTATTCTAAAGTAAACTTTTTTGTGCCTACATAACTAGCAAAATTTGAGTCTAAATAACCAATTACCTCAAAATAATTAGCATGTCTATAAGTCAACTTGTAATCCTTTGTTACTTGTAGGCACCTAATGACTTTCTTGTCAGCTTTTCAATGGTCCATTTATGGATTACTTTGGAACCTTTCCAACATTCCTACTACAAATACAAAGTTAGGTTTTATACAGACTTGTGTATATATCAAACTGTCAATTATAGACATATAAGGAATGTTACTCATCAACTTCTTTTTCACTAATTTTATGGGCATTATTTCTGACTGAATTTATCCCCTTTGAAAATAATTGATAATGAAGATGCACAATTTAAAATCCTAAACCTTTCCAAAACTTTTTTCAAAATAGGCCTTTTAAGACATTTCTAATGTCTGTTGAGACCTGTCTCCGTGAATCTGTATGTCAATGATATAAGAGGTTTCACCCAAATTCTTCATATCAAAGTTTTGATAAAAAAATTGTTTTATCTCATGTAACAAACCCAAATCAGTACTTGCAAGCAGAATATCATCTATATATAAGACAAGAAAGACATATTTGCTCCTTCTAATCTTAAGGTATATACATTAGTCAATAATGTTTTAAAAAAACAATATGAGACTATAACATTATAAAATTTAATATACCACTATCGTGAGGCTTGTTTTATTTAGCTTACAAAACAAATTACTATTTATGTCACCATAAAAAACTTCAGGTCAGATATATGCTCTATTTTTTCCTTGATGGCATTATATCATATAGTAAAGTTAGACTCTTGAAGGTATACAATAAAGTCATTAAAAATTATTGGTCTTCTTATTATTGAAGATCTCTTTAATTCAATTTTTTTTTATTTGGGTTTACTTTATCAAGAACTAGTTTACCTTGAACTAATTGCTCTTGAATTGATTATTGCTCAAAATTATCTGAATCATTTTCTTAAACAATAATCATTTGTTGTTTATCTTTACGCAACTTAATTAAATCTTATGTTTCCTTAAATTTTATCATTATAGAAAAATCACTCCCACCAAAATTAAGATCCTTAATAACATTGATTACCTATACTATTCTTGTATTATGAGAAGGACAATAAAACTTATGTTTTTTAGAATTCACTGGATAACCAATGAAACATCTACTAGTTGTTCCTAGGCCTAATTTCTTTAGTTGAGGATTATAAATCTTTATCTCAACATGACAATCCTATACATATGTATGATTTAAATTAAGGCTTCCATCCATTCTATAATTAAAAGAAAAAAGAGTTTTAGACACAAATTTAAATGGAACTCTATTTGAAATATGCACAACATTTTTTAGTGCTTCACTTCATAAGGATAATAGTAGATCAGAATTACTAATCATGCTTTTTGTCATGTCTATAATTGTACAATTCCTTATTTTAGCTAAATCATTTTGTTATAGCGTGTCAGGCATTGCATATTATACGATAATGCCCTCTTTTTCATGCCCCTTTGCAAATAGACCTAGCATTTGTTTTTTGTTTTTTTTTTTGTAACTACCATAATACTCTACACCTTTATATGACCTTACGGTCTTTTCCTTTTGTTTCTTTACCTCATCCT